GTTTATGGTGTGGAGTTTTAAGAAGGAAATACCAAAAAGAAAAAGCAATAAGTTCAGTCCAAATGAGGCAAAAAATTTGAAAAAAGTATAGCAAATACAGTGGATAAGAGGGTTGCTGTTTGATACATTTCTGAAGAGTCGTGCACAGTTTTAGCAAATATAGCCAATGTTAGACATGAAGAATTGAGTTGTTTAAAGTCCATCAAAGAGATGTAATGTTTGGGTTATTTAAGTACAGAACCATGGGTATTGGTAGAATACAGTTGTGGGTTTGTTTAAATTCCATGGTTCAGACTAAATTAGGTCTTATCGATATTAATGGATTTCTTTCCATGAAAACTTTTACCATTATTAGTACCCAAATTGTACTGGGGAGACAGTCAGTTAGAAGAGAGATTTAATATTGAAGAATGTCAGGAGTCGGATTGGATGCTTAAATTAGTACATGACAAATCTTTGGCTTTAAATTTGGTCCTCATTTCAATTCAGACCTCATGCATGCTGTTTTATTTCAGATACATCTTGTAAGCCATGATTGCACAATCTTACTACTTTGGGACCACATGCAGCTTGCAAAATGTCAAGGTGTGCAAATAACTGTAAAGAAAATAAGAATTAAATGCAAGATAGGATTATGTTCTTGACATTCTGGAATATTCTTGCCACAGTTAGAAGAAGAGTTGTATCCATGTTTTACACTGGTATTGTTAATGAACTAAGACAAGGTTTAAGCAGTGTTGTGTTGTCTCTGTGAATTCCTCCTGCTAGCAGAAGCCATCAGTATGTAATGTACTTGTTGCATCTCATGTCCTGTAAGCTGCCAAGTGTTTAGAATGCTTGAGTGAACTGGAGGCTCTCATCTGCTATCATTAAGTCACTCTTTCCTTTTGCCTCACTAGAAGCTTCACCAACTTCTGAAGAAAGATTTGGCAAAGGGAAGGGTTTGAATCAGGACAGAGAGATTCTCTTATTGTGGCACAACACAAAAAGGTCTAGAAAAGGGTTACCTTGTCAGGTTTGATAAATAATTGGCTGCTGAAGAGAAATTTGTAATGAAGTGTCACAATAGTCACATGTGTGAAGAAAAGTTTTTGCTAATTCTTTGTTCAAGTTCTTGGGGTGGGTTGGAAAGGGGGATCAGAGTTTAGTTGATTTCTAGCCATGTTCAACATTGGACTGTAAATACTGTAGATTGGCAAATAATCATGATGGTTTTAATTTCACTATGTTCGTGATTCATTATTTTTCTGCGAAATAAAACCCATCGTGAATGCCATATTTACATTTGTTTTTAAAAATGTTTAAATGCTTATACGAAATTTAAATTAATTTCTTGCAGCATGAAAATTAAACCATCGCGATTGGTACTTTTTGCGAAATCATGAAATTTTTACACTGTGGAATTAAAACGACTTGCAGTACTCCATTAACCTTCTTTCAGTGTTGCATAGAAAGTTTAATATTGTTCAAGGCTTGATTATTAAAAAATACTTTATAGGGAGAGGTCAAAGTAAGTTTTAAGAACTTTTGCCCAACCCCATTGTATATATATTTACTACAGTAAAATATGTTCAATTCAATCATAAAATGAAAATCATCAATTGATGGTATTTGCAAAGGAGATTTTCTTAAGTTTTGGTACGTGTTATAATTGGATCTTGACCAATAAGAATCATTCCATTATTTGGAGTCCTTCAATTTTGCTACATTTGGAAGTGGATTTAGTTTTTTAAAAAAATGTTGTCATTGGGCTCCAACCTGTGAGGAGAAGAAGTTTTGCCAAAAGGGGTTGATGCATATTTATTGTTCTTTATTACTGTCAGTTTGTTATATGGTATTAAGGTGACTTAGTCATTGTTGTCCTGACCATGTTGATATTTCATTCTTTTTCATAATTCTCAATTATTGTAAAAAGTGTAAAAGGTAGAGTAAGACAAAGACTCATTGCTTTAAGGTTCATAGGCCCTCTGCTGAGAGATAACTTGAACAGCGATAAATAACTAAAACTGTCAAATTAAAGACTCTCTGTCAGATTTTACCCTGAAGGTAAACTAAAATTATTTGCATCTTAATTATAATATAGATTTGGAAAACCATAAGCCTTCGAGGAAAATTTTACATGAGTGAGCAGAGGGACTTTGAACCTTGATATTACTTTCGGATTATGATACACAGAGCATGAAGATTCTGTGAAATACTTAAATGTATACAGTAAAACTAGCTTATAAGGAAGTTTCTGGGACCTCAAATTTTAATTCATTATAACAATATTTATACCCCACGCAACAAGTTGCGTGAGGTATAATGTTTTTGACCCGTCCGTCAGTCAGTCAGTCAGTCAGTGTGTCAGTCAGTCAGTCAGTGTGTCAGTCAGTCAGTCAGTCAGTCAGTCCATCAGTCCTGTTTTTTTGTCAGCGCAACTCCTCATAAACCGCTGCACAGAATTTCGTCAAACATTGCAGATATTTAGGACACAATGTGTAGATGTGCATATTACCAGAAAATTCCGATTCCTTTATTTTTTCTCGGAATTTCGGCACTTTTCAACTTAGATTTTTGGCCATATCTTGAATATGGAGATGAACAGTTTGTCAGCACAACTCCTCATAAACCAATGCACAGAATTCGGTCAAACTTTGCAGATATTTAGCACACAATGTATAGATGTGCATATTACCAGGAAATTCCGATTCCTTTATATTTTCTTGGAATTTCGGCACTTTTCAACTTAGATTTTTGGCCATATCTTGAATATAGAGATGAACAGTTTGTCAGCACAACTCCTCTTAAACCGCTGCACAGAATTTGGTCAAACTTTGCAGATATTTAGGACACAATGTGTAGATGTGCATATTACCAGGAAATTCCGATTCCATTATTTTTCTGGGAATTTCAGCACTTTTCAACTTAGATTTTTGGCCATATCTTGAATATAGAGATGAACAGTTTGTCAGCGCAACTCCTCTTAAACCGCTGCACAGAATTTGGTCAAACTTTGCAGATATTTAGTACACAGTGTGTAGATGTGCATATTACCAGGAAATTCCGATTCCATATTTTTCTGGGAATTTCGGCACTTTTCAACTTAGGTTTTTGGCCATATCTTGAATATAGAGGTGAACAGTTTGTCAGCACAACTCCTGTTAAACCGCTGCATAGAATTTGGTCAAACTTTGCAGATATTTAGCACACAATGTATAGATGTGCATATTACCAGGAAATTCCGACTCCTTTATATTTTCTGGGAATTTCGGCACTTTTCAACTTAGATTTTTGGCCATATCTTGAATATAAAGATGAACAGTTTGTCTGCGCAACTCCTCTTAAACCGCTGCACAGAATTTGGTCAATCTCTGCAGATATTTAGTACACAGTGTGTAGATGTGCATATTACCAGGAAATTCTGATTCCATTATTTTTTCTGGGAATTTCGGCACTTTTCAACTTAGGTTTTTAGCTCACCTGAGCCAAAGGCTCAAGTGAGCTTTTCTGATCACTTTTTGTCCGGCGTCCGTCTGTCTGTCTGTCTGTCCGTCTGTCTGTCTGTCTGTCTGTCTGTCTGTCTGTAAACTTTTAACATTTTTGACTTCTTCTCAAGAACCACTGGGCCAATTTCAACCAAACTTGCCACAAAGTATCCTTGGGTGAAGGGGATTCAAGTTTGTTAAAATGAAGGGCCCCGCCCTTTTTCAAGGGGAGATAATAAAGAATTAGTGAAAAATTAATAGCATCTTTGAAAAATCTTCTTCTCAAGTACCACAGGGCCAGGAAAGATGAAACTCCTGTGGAAGCATCCTCAGGTAGTGTAAATTCAAGTTTGTTCAAATCATGACCCCCGGGGGTAGGGCGGGGCCACAATGGAGGATCAAAGTTTTACATAGAAATATATAGGAAAAACCTTTAAAAATCTTCTTCTCAAGAACAGCAAAGCCATATTGAGTCATATTAATATAGAAGCATCCTCAGGTAGTGTAGATTCAAGTTTCTTCAAATCATGACCCCCGGGGGTAGGGCGGGGCCACAATGGAGGATCAAAGTTTTACATAGAAATATATAGGAAAAACCTTTAAAAATCTTCTTCTCAAGAACAGCAAAGCTGTATTGAGTCATATTAATATAGAAGCATCCTCAGGTAGTGTAGATTCAAGTTTGTTCAAATCATGACCCCCGGGGGTAGGGCGGGGCCATGATTGACTATCAAAGTTTTACATAGAAATATTTAGGAAAAATTTTAAAAATCTTCTCAGGAACAACAAAGCCCTGATTGATCATATTTATGTGGAAGCATCCTCAGGTAGTGTAGATTTTATTTTGTTCAAATCATGATCCCCTGGGGTAGGGTGGGGCCACAATGGAGGATCAAAGTCTTAAATAGAAATATATAGGATAATATCTTGGAAGCATCCTCAGGTAGTGTAGACTCAAATTTGTTCAAATGATGACCCCTGGGATAGGGAGGAGCCACAATGGGGGATAAAATTTTTACAAAGGAATATATGGGAAATTTTTTTTGAACATCTCAAGTACAAGAAAACCATTTGTTATATTGACATGGAAGAATCATCAGGTAGTTTAAAATTCAATATGGCATATAATCATCTTGGGTTCTCAGAGTGTGAATTGGAATTTCAAGGGTTTATGTAAATATACAGGATACTCCGAAGCTTCAAATAGAAGTGATAGGTTGTACAGTTTATCAGAAGAGCGATTCAAGGCCCATGGGCCTCTTGTTTTTAATTTGCTTCAATATACATGTATACATTTAATAATTCTACAAATCCAGAGGGGCAGTGTGACCCCCCCCCCCCCCCCCCCCCCGAACTGTGCATGCTCTTCTTTTTTTCCCTAAGCGGGGGACACAAATTCTCTGAATTAGCTTGTTATTATGTACCTTTGAAGAAAAAAAAATTAAACACAAGTTTTTGTATACCAATTGAAAAGTATGTTAAATTAGTAATGCCATTAAATCATTTTGACAGATTCCACATGATGTAAAGTACAACTTTAGAAAAGAAGAGGATATCAACATTGTGCAGGTTTATTTAATCCCTTTATATGAGTTAAGATTTAATTGAGGCAGCACACAATTTTGTGCCTTGCTGTGAATATGGCATGTTGGTCTATATACCTCCCATGGCAAAGTTTGAAGGGGGACATAGGAATCATCTTGTCCGTCTGTCTCTTTAGCTATCTGTCTGTCTGTCTGTCCATGCAATCATGTCCATGCTATATCTTTGTAACAGAGAACCATTTGAAGCTCATGCTTAGTATAAAGGTTATTTGTGTTCTGAGGGTGAATCATGACCTTGAACCAATGTCCGACAAATTTAAGGTCACTAGCAAAAAAAATAAAAAAAATTTGTGTCCAGTCTACAACTTTGTAATGAAGAAATCTTGGAAGTTACACCTGATACAAAAATTGTTTATGACATGAAGGTGTGTCATGAGTTTGATCCAAGGTCATTTGATCAAATTCAAGGTCACATTAAAAAATGTAATTGTTTAATTTCTGTCCTGACCATAATTTGTTATGGAGAACATTATAGGCTTATACTCATCACAAATATTACATAAGAACTAAGGTATTTATTGACCTTGACCCAAGGTCATTCCAGCAAGTTCAAGGTCACTGGCAGAAAAAGTTTATTATTTGTATTTGGTCTATAACTCTCAAATAGAGGCTAATTGGAAGACGATACTTGATACAAAGATTGTTTATATTGGTGTGTTATAATCTGATCCGAGGTCATTTTGACAAGTTCAAGGTTACATTTAATTGTATAAATTCAATAATTGCAGGGAGGGGGTGGTATAATTTTGTGAGCTCACTCACAATACCTCCTGGTCTTCCTACTGTTTGTCCGTCACACTTTGTATGAAGTTCAGTTTCAAAGAAACTTTGTAACTTTGTATTTTGTCAAAATTCGTAAACAGACTGTACATATTGGTGAGAGCTATTGAACTGTGTCATAAATTTCTGAACCTGTTTTTGGAGCATGTTAAAGTTTTCGAGCAGGTTTAAGTTTAAGAAGCAGGTCTCATTCCCAAGTTACTTTAAGTTCAATACATGTATGGTGACCAAATTTGCATGAATGATGAATCTAGGGATGCACACAAGACTTAATTCAGATGCAGGATTTGATCTACATTTTATGGATGAGTGACCAGGTTAAAGTTTTTGGAGCAGGCCAATTCTCAAGCAACAAATCCTTACCTGGACCAAACTTGCATGAAAGATTCATCTAGGACACACTACCAGATTTGGTTTGGATGCTGTATCTTACCAACATTTTCTGGAAGAGTGAACTGTACCTAAATCAAACTTGCATGAATGATGCATCTAGAGCTGTACACCACTTGCTTTGGATGCTGGATCTGACCTACATTTTTAGGTCACCTGAGTCACTCAGGTGACCTATTGCTATCTGTTTTCGTCCATCGTCAGTCGTCCGTCATTTGAACATTTTCAGCTTCTTCTCTGAAACCGCTGAACCAATTTCAGCCAGTTTTAGCATATGGCATCTATGTGTGAAGGGGAACAAAATTTGTGAATTTCATGGTCCCTGCCCCCCTGGGGCCTGAGGGGTGGGGCTAAAACCACCAAAATTAATGCAATCTTTAAAAATCTTCTTCTTTACTCCTGGACATCAAGCAGTCAAACTGTTGGCATGATTGTAATAAGCATTGAGCCCTCTACCAAATTTATGAAATTCATGGCCCCAGGGTCAGGGGTTCTGGTGCTAGGTTGGGGCTATATAGATCATATAGTGAAAGTGCATTATTTCTTTGAAAATCTTCTTCTACTCCTGGGTATTATTTAAACAAATTAAATACATGGTTATGATAAGCAAGAGTAACTCTACCAAAATTGTGAAATTCATAGCTCCAGGGTCAGTGGTTCTGGTGCTAGGGCAGGCTATATAGCTCCTATAGTGAAGGTGAATTATTTCTTTGAAAATCTTCTTCTTTGATCCCTGGGTATTAATTAAACAAACTAAGTACATTGTTATGACATGCAAGGATGCCTCTTCCAAAATTGTGAATTTCATGGCCCCAGGGTCAAGGGTTCTGGTGAAAAGGGGGGGGGGGAGGGGGGGCTTTATTGATTATATAGTGAAAAGGCAAAATTTCTTCGAAAATATTCTTTTCTCTTCTGGTTAAAAAGCAAAGAAGCTAAGTGTATAGTTATGATGAGCAAGAGTGCTTTTTCCAGAGTAGTGAATTGCATGACCCGTGGGTCAGATGTGCTGGTGTAAGGGGGGGTTCTTGATAATATAGTGAAAATGCATTAATTCTATTAAATAATCCTGTCTGCTCCTTAGTGTTAAGCAGATAAACAAAGTGATTACTTACGATGAGCAAACTTCTGGTCCCAGGGTGAGAGGCTCTGGTGTTTCTCGGGGGGGGGGGGGGGGGGGGGGGAGGCTCTATTGACAATATAGTGAATCTGTAGTAAAAATGCATTATTTCTTTAAAAATCTTCTCTGCACCTGGGTATATTGGAGGCAAAAAGAGTAAAAGTTATAATAAGGAAGGGTATTTTTACCAGATTTTTGAACATCTGGACCATTTGGTCAAGTATTCTGGTCCTGGCCAGGGCTCTATTAATTTGTATTCTACTGAGAGGAGTTATTCCCCTTTGCCATTTACTTTTGATAATTAATCACTGTAAACAATGTACTTGAAAGGTTAATAGAGTAAGAGAATTATGCAAGAATTTTTATTGTATAACACAAAAAGTACTTTAATAGTTTTAATGATCAGGTAGACTTGTAAGTAATAGATAAATAAAAATGAGACAAAAATAACTTGTCTTATTAAATGTTCATCAAAGATCAAGAAGATTTCAATTAGGAATTTAAATAGTACAGAAGCACTGATAGTTTGTTAATATAATGTATGGTGATAGTGATAAATGGGAACAGATTAGAACCTACTTTATGAACTGTTAATGAGTGGTAGGCTTATTATTTTGTTGATCCTGATCCCCCTTTTTTTCTTGCTTTTGGGCAACAAAGCTTCACCTTTCAGTTCATTTTATACTCTTTGGATCCTCTAAATTGTTGTATTATACTCAGGTGACCGTTAAGGCCCTTGGGCCTCTTGTCTAGATGAGTGACTAGGTTAAAGATTTTTGAGCAGGTCCATTCCCAAATATAATCAACCAAACTTGCAATAATGTTGCAATTAGGGATGCACAGTGCCAAAACATTTGTTTAATGTGAGACTTTTACTTACTTATAGATAACATTGTCGAGGTAAGCTTCGTAATATTTGATTACCTATGTTTTCAGATGTCTGTCTGTCTTTTTATTAGCTCACCTGAGCCGAAGGCTCAAGTGAGCTTTTCTGATCAAAATTTGTCCGTTGTCTGTCATTGGCGTTGTCGTCGTTGGCATTGTCGTTGTAAAATTTTCACATTTTCATCTTCTTCCCCAGAACTACTGGACCAATTTCAACCAAACTTGGCACAGAGTATCTTTTGGTGAAGGGGATTCAAGTTTGTTCAAATGAAGGGCCACTACCCTCTTTCAAGGGGAGATAATTATGAAATAGCGAAAAATTAATGGCATCATTGAAAAATCTTTTTCTCAAGAACCACTGGGCCAGGAAAGATGAAACTCATGTGGAATCATTGTCAGGTAGTGTACCGGGTAGATTCAAGTTTGTTCAAATCATGACCCCCAGTGGTAGGGTGGGGCCACAGTGGATGATCAAAGTTTAACATAGGAATATATAGGAAAAATCTTCTCAAGAACAGCAAAGCTATGATTGGTCATATTTATATGGAAGCATCCTCAGGTGGTGTAGAATCAAGTTTGTTCAAATCATTATCCCCGGGGGTAGGGTGTTGGCCACAATGGACGATAGAAGTTTAACACAGGAGTATATAGGAAAAATCTTAAAAATTCTTCTTCTTAAAAACAGCAAAGCCATGATTGGTCATATTTATAAGGAAGCATCTGCAGGAGGTGTAGATTCAAATTTGTTCAAATCATGACCCCTGGGGGTAGGGTGGGGCCACAATGGAGGATCAAAGTTTAACATAGGGGTATATAGGAAAAATCTTAAAAATTCTTCTTCCCAGAACAGCAAAGCCATGATTTGTCATATTTATTTGAAAGCATACTCAGGTGGTGTAGATTCAAGTCTGTTCAAATCATGACCCCCAGGGGTAGGGTGGGTCCACAATTGAATTCAAAGTTTTTCATAGAATTACAAAGAAAAAATCTTTAAAAATCTTCTTCTCAAGAACAGCAAAGCCATGATTGGTCATATTTATGTGAAAGCATCCTCAGATGGTGTAGATTCAAGTTTGTTCAAATCATGACCTCTGGGGGTAGGGTGGGTCCACAATGTACGATCAAAGGTTTACATAGGAATACATAGGAAAATTTTTTTAAAATCTTCTTGTCAAGAAAAGCAAAGCCATGGTTGGTCATATGTATGTGAAAGCATCCTCAGGTGGTATAGATTCAAATTTGTTCAAATCATGACCTCCGGGGGTAGGGTGAGGCCACAGTGTACGATCAAAGTTCAACATAGGAGTATATAGGAAAAAGCTTTGAAATACTAAACTGATTTTTGCTTTTTTACTAGCGATATGGCCCCTGGGCCTCTTGTCTGTCTGTCTGTTTGTTGATACTTTCAACATTTTTATGCCCCACCATGAATATGGCCAGGGCATATAGAAATTGTCATGTCTGTCTTCCATCCTTTGTCCTTCCATCCTTCTGTCCTTCCATCTGTCCTTCTGTCACACTTTGCATTTAGCTCAGTTTCAAAGATACTATTCAAGATATTTTTAAACTTCAAATGCTGATACATATTGATGAAAGCTATTTAACTGCATCAACATTTTTTGATGAAAGCTATTTAACTGCATCAACATTTTTTGACGTTGACCGCACTTTTCTTAAATTAGTGTTTAGCTCAGTTTTAAAGAAACCATTCAAGATAGTGTTATCAAACTTCATATGCTGATACATATTGATGTATGCTTTTGAACTGCATCAGCGTTTTTTGACCTTGACTTTTTCTTTGACCTTGACCTCACTTTTCTTAAATTAGTGTTTAGGTCAGTTTTAAAGAAACCATTCATGAAATTTTTATCAAACTTCATATGCTAATACATACTGATGTATGCTTTTCAACTGCGTTAACATTTTTTGACCTTGACCTTTCTTTTGACCTTGACCTCACTTTTCTTAAATTAGTGTTTAGCTCAGTTTTAATGAAACCATTCAAGTTATATCAAATTTAACATGCTGATACATATTAGTGAGAGCTATTCAACTGCATCAAAAACTGTTGACCTTGACCTTTCCTGTGGATTGACCTCACTTTTCTTAAATTTGCATTTTGCTTAGTTTTAAAGAAACCATTTCAGATATTTTTATGTAAGCTTATGCTCTTGTACATAATTTTATGAGAATTTATCATCTATATCCTATTTTTTAGATTTCAATTTCAATTTTAAAGAAACTATATAAGATATTGTCATCAAACATCATTCACTAATACAAATTGTCATGTTGCATTACTATTATACCCTTGGGGGGCATTCATGTCCCATGGACATATTTCTAGTTGACTTTTTCTTCAGAACTACTTTGCCAGTTTCAACCAAACTTGCCACAAAATATCCTTTGGTGAAGGGGATTCAAGTTTGATCAAATGCTTAACCACACCCTCTTTCAAATGAAGATAATACTCTGTGAAAATTTGACAGTTTGTTTTAAAAATCTTTTCTTAAAGAATCACTCAGCTGAAAGAAGAAAAATTATATGAAAGCTTCCTGACATAGTGTATATTCAAGTTTGTTCAAATCAGGACCCCTGGGGGTAGGGTTTCCAAAATAGGAGATCAAAGTTTTACATAGAAATATATTGGAAAAAACTTCAAAAATCTGCACAAGAACAGCTTGGCCATGATATGAACTAATAATATTTAAATATCTTCAGTGCATAACCAATTCTTCACATATAATGGGGGTGGGGGGAGGGTAGGATGGGGCCTCAATAGAGGATACATATTTTTTATGGGAATATATATATATATATATATATATATATATATATATATATATATATATATAATTCAAAAATAGTTAAAAGATGATGTCACACATGAAAAATACTGTACGTGTACTTAAATTGGCGTATTCAAAATTTAGCTCAATCACTGGGTATGGTGTTGTTGGCATAATCATGAATTAGCGCTATGCATGTCCGTGCCGTATATTGTAATTATAAATAATTTCTTAGCGGTATCCATGAATTAGTGCAATGATGTCCCTGCTAAAGCCGCTAAAATATGAAGCCCTCTTTTTTAAGTACACATACAGTAATCATAGAAGAAAAAGAAAATGAATGGAATGAAATTTGGAAACTGTGCATTTTCTTTTTCTTTTATGATTATATATATATATATATATAGAGAGAGAGAGATAGAGAGAGAGAGAGAGAGAGAGAGAGAGAACATTCTTCAGAACAGCAGGGCCATGATTTAAATATCAGAATATATAGGAAGAAATCTTGGATTAATATAATATGCAAGTATTCTGAAGAATATTTGTTTCAGGTATAAAAATTTTGTGTAGGAGTATATGGGGAAAAACTTTAAATTAATTGTAATTAATATTTAATTAAAATTTATCTCAAGAATAGTCTAGGCATGATTATTTCTGTTTTTAATAGCCAAGCAACTTCAGGTTATGCAGATTGAAGATTGTTTAAATTATGACCCCAGAGATTGTATGAGGCAATAACATCGGGTAAAAAAAAGTGTTGGAATATAGAGGGGAGAAAAATCTCTTTCTGAAGAACAGCATTGGTACTGTGACTCAGGTGAGCATTGCGGCCCAAGGGCCTCTTGATTCACTTATCATTGGATGGGACATTCATTTTCTATGGACATATTCATAGATCAATTTCGAAGTTTATGAGACTATGACCTTGGTTGTACTGTTCAAGAGGCATATTACATTGACCTTATGTAAGCATTAAGATACTTGTAATCAAAACATACCCAGCAACAGCATTATTTCTACATGTACTTCTGCATGTATAGTGTTTGACAAGGCGATTATATACTTGTATATAGGTTAATGTTCTGAATTTGTTTTGACAGATTCCTCAGGATGTGCTGAGCAGTTATTAAGAGGATGAAGAAATCACCACCTTACAGGTTATCATAATTCCTCCACATGCAAAAGTTCATAAGGCCAAAATAAAATTAGTCAATAGTTCCTCGGGCACCACTGCATCAGGTCAAACATTGCCGCATTGATCAATTTTATTGACATATTGAAAAGGGAAATAACCCAATTTTCTATTTTTTCCAAGCAGAAAAAGAAAATTGAGTTATTCCCCTTTTCATACATGCTAATAAAATACGGTTTTATTAGCTCACCTGATTGAGCTTTTCTGATCAAATTTTGTCCATCATCCATCTAGCTGTCTGTCCGTCCATTCGTCTGTAAACTTTTCACAATTTCAACTTCATCTCCAGAACCAATGGCCAATTTCAACCAAACTTGTCACAAAGCATCCCTGGGTAAAGGGGATTCAAGTTTGCTCAAATGAAGGGCCATGCCCTCTTTCAAGGGGAGAAAATTAAGAAATAGTGAAAATTGGGTGGGGTCATTTAAAAATCTTCTCAAAAACCACTGGGCTAAAAAAGATGAAACTTACGTGAAAGGTTCCTGACATAGCATAGATTCAATTTTGCTTAAATTTATAACCCCGGGGGGTAGGGTGGGGCCACAATGAGGGATCAAATTTTTACATAGGAATATATAGGAAAAAATCTTCAAAAATCTTCTTCTCAACAACAGCAAAGCCATGATAAGTCATATTGATATGGAAGCACCCTCAGTTAGTGTTAATCCAAGTTTGTTCAAATCATGACCCCCGGGGGTTGGATGGGGCCACAAGGGGGGATCCAAGTTTTACATAGGAATATATAGGAAAAACTCTTTAAAGATCTTCTAAAAAAAACGCAAAGCCATGATTAGTCATATTGACATGGAAGCATTCTCAGGTAGTGTAGATTCAAGTTTGTTCAAATCTTGACCCCAGGGGGTAGTGTGGACCCACAATAGAGGATTAAACTTTAACATAGGAATATATAGGAAAAAATCATACAAAAATCCTCTTTTCAAGAATAGCAAATCCATGATAAGTCATATTGATATGGAAGCATCCTCAGGTAGTGCAGATTTAAGTTTGTTCAAATGATGACCCCCGGGGGTAGGGTGGGTCCACAATGGGCTATCAAAGTTTAGCATAGGGATATATAGGAAAAAATCTTCAAAAATCTTTTTTTAAGAACAGCAAAGCCATGATAAGTCATATGAATATGGAAGCATCCTCAGATAGTGTAGATTCAAGTTTGTTCAAACCATGACATCTGGGAGTAGGTTGGGGTCACAGTAGGGGATCAAAGTTTTACACATTAGGGATATATAATAGAAAAAATCTGCTGATGAAGAACAGCAGGGCCATATTGACTCAGTTGAGCGCTGTGGTCCATGGGCATCTTGTTATATACACAATGTATTTCTTGTAAAAACGGTGTTTTATAGATTAACTCCTTATTAAAATGTTTGGACTAAAATTAATTTAAGTTGAGTCTATATAATAATTAACATAAGAGTACAAAAAGTAAGAATACTAAATATCATCATTTTGTTGACTGACAAGAGAAAAGATTCAGATAAAACCTTAAAAAAAAGAAGAAAAAAACTGCCTGCTGCATTGAACTTTTGGCCTGAGAAACTAAAAGTTGATTTTTTTGGCCTAAACTATAAAAGTAAATGCAGTACATTTGTAGATGTACATGTTTTGTTCTTGTTTTTTTTAACAAACAATCAAAATTAAAGCTATCATGATTTGAATTTTGTAATTTCAAAAAATAGAGTCTGACATGATTTTCTCATAATTAAAATAAGGTAAATGAAATATGTTTTTGTAAGAATGATAAATAATAATGTCCTTTGTTTTTTTTTTACTCACTAGGACAAAGAAACAAGATGAAAAGAACAAACTAGTGGTTACCAGCTAGAAGAAATCGATGTGGTAAACATTTCTCTGTTACTTTATATAACTATCATGTTAAAACACACTATAGGTCATGCTTAAATATAGAGTGTGTCATATATTAAGAAAATCTATATTTAATACTGCACAGCCTTGTAACTTATGAATTAATATTTGTAAGAAGACAGGGTTTATCATGATAATTCTTATGTAAATTAAGCTGACTCACTGGACTGTAAATACAATGTAGGAGAATGTAATGTTTCAAATGATTTCATATTATCATCTAAAAGATTCTTAAAAGTCATCCAGTATTTCACAATTTATATATGTGTTTTAATTTGTGAATATTTATCTGTTAGACAGGTTTGATTGAGAACACTTGGAGGCTGCTATTCATTGAGACATTGTAAACATTCAGCACCCAGTGTAAAGGTATTTATGTTTATCTGGGTCTTAATTCTATTCTATTCTGTAAGTTCTTAAAATCAATACATTGGTAAATGAGAATATTGTAAAGAGAGCCCAGTTATCGATGTAGATAATTATAACACAGTGTTGTAATTTACAGAGAAATCTCCCTGACTGAAGAAATCCACACGGGATTCTGAAACCACAGGATAAAGATGAAATAAATGTCTGCTGTCAATGATGTATAGATTTGTGTTACAGAAATCTCTCACAGTGACAGGTGTTAGTGATTGTCGTCACATTTCCCGTGTATCATCAGACCGGGTCTGGATCAGTGATAGAAACAATCTCATCTTGACAAACACAGCAGGTGATAAACTACATCATCTGACAGGTATACGTTGTTATTATGGAGTACACACAGTGACTCGGGACGGTGATTTAATTTATATAGACAGTCACAGTAACATCAACAAACTGTCTACAGATCACAGAGTAAAGTCTACATTAATAAAGTACACAGCACCATGGGAACCACGGTGTGTCTACAGCTCCCCCTCCACTGGAGACCTGCTGGTCGGGATGTATAGATATGATACAGATACAGCCAAGGTAAACCGTTACAACAGCACAGGACAACACATACAGACCATACAGCACAACAACAAAGGTCAGGGACTATATAGTGAACCTCTCTACATCACAGAGAACCGCAATGGAGATGTTATTGTGTCTGACTTTGGCCATCGTGCTGTAGTGGTGACAGATGGTGTAGGTAGACACCGCTTCTCCTACACAGGACCTCCATCAGGATCAGGACTAGAACCACGTGGAATCTGTACTGACATGCTGTCACATATCCTGGTGTTTGATCTTAACACCCACTCAGTACAGATACTGGACTGTGATGGGAGATTCCTGTCACAGATAGAGAAAACACAACACGGGTTATACAAACCATGGAGCCTGAGTTATGATGACAACACTAACTGTGTCTGGGTGGGATCATTGAACAACAACACAGTGAACATTTACAGACTTATACATGAAGACTCCCTGACCGGTAAGTTATACTAAAGTATGATTAGGTGTTTTGTTTAACAATATTTAGTGTGTACAATTTATTACAGTCATTGTTTTATATGTAATTACAAGACATTAATGAACAATTATAGTCATTGTTTTATATGTAATTACAGGACATTAATGAACATTTATTATTATAGTCATTGTTTTATATGTAATTACAAGACATTAATGAACAATTATAGTCATTGTTTTAAGTGTAATTACAAGACATTAATGAACAATTATAGTCATTGTTTTAAGTGTAATTACAAGACATTAATGAACAATTATAGTCATTGTTTTATGTGTAATTACAAGACATTAATGAACAATTATAGTCATTGTTTTAAGAGCCAGTCCGCGAGAAAACCATGCAAAATTTAAAAAAATCGTCAAATGGAAGGTTGCAACATAGGATTTTTTAGTGGCTTAAAATTTTCTACATATAAGTTGAAGTCAAAATATCTACAAAAAAATTGTCGAACCTCGCATCTATTTTTAGTAACAGCTCATTTGCATATTTGTCGAAAATCACACTTAATTATACGGAAAAACCATACAAACTGATTAATTCAAAAAGTGACCTTCTGCCATCGGTTTATTTCCAAATTTTGTTTTCTTTTCAAAATCATGGTCTTATTTATACAATTAATGAAGAAAAACGTAATTCAAATTAATGTTTTATTTTTTAAAGGTCTATTTTTAGATCCTAAATCAATGAGTATGATTTTTTAGCCACTTTTTAGATGCAATTTTCTCTCAAGACCAAGTAAAAAATTAAATTGAAGTAAGTGTAATCTTTAAAATGGTCATAGGTCTACTACATATTAAAATATTGAGCTTGGGAAATAATATCTACATGTTTAAAATTAACTTTGAAATACCATACTTCGCTATAATTTCACATATTTTAAATAACAGTCTATTACCATATGAATGGACTATTTCTTAAATATCTAAATGAAAAAAGGAGATTCTCAATCAAATATATTTTTTTAAAATAGGAATAACTGATTTAGATACTTCATATAAACTTCTATTGCTTATTTTAGCCCCCTGCAACTAATTTCCTGGAGTTAAATTGTTATCTCCCCTTGTTTGAACTCTTTAGTATTATTGGATAAAAATGACAAGCATATCAACATGGAATAAGAAGGTCATGTATGATCATTTTATATGAACCTAGGGAGTTGTTGTGGAGCATCAATGCACTATGAAAGTGGAAAAACTCATTTTTAAGATCTTTGAATGTAAGGAAAAAAAACAATCCAGCTTGAACAGGCAAATAGCCCCTGCGCTAAGGCCTTTTATGCTATATCGGTGTGTAGAAATGGAAATTGTGATAAACTCTACTCGTTAAAACCTTTATTATATGCCTTAAAACATCGTGGTGACATTTTGTTCACTGGAGAGACAAGCAAACATCGTGCATGTATGTGGATAGAAGGATCATCCTGAAACAAGCAAGGACAAAGCATGTATCATGATACACGTTTACAATATTCAGCTTGTGCAAACAACACATGACTGCAGCCAAAAACATATGCCATTTCGGCAAATTGCAGTACAAACTGATAAAAATTAAAAATGGGCATGAATGTAAGATATATAAAAATGATAAAGGAGTGATAATTTCATTCAGATGGTAAAAGGGGGGAGGGGTTGTTGAATTTTGTCATGGCATATATATATATATATATATATATATATATATATTTATATTTATATTTTTATATATAATATTATAATTAATAAAATTGTATTATGCTTTGTAATTTATTTGATACTTTGTCTGAATAACCATAATAGTAACAATAATACCCTTGTAGACAGAGTTTAATTTTGGATATGATCGGAGAATTTTTTTTGTATATATGTATATCCACTGAAAACAGTTGGCGGGGGGGGGGGGGGGGGGGGGGGCACCATTCAAGGTCAGATTAACTTCTTAACAGTGGAGGAAAGATTATTCAGGTTCTATATACATGTGTATCTACCCAGTAGTTTTACCCCACCCAAATGAAATTGAAATGGTTGTTCCCCCAAGAAAATGGATGTTATAATAAAAATTTATAGTGGTAATTGTTTATCAGGACGGTTATACCAGTTTCAATGAGCAAAATAAAAAAAAATAAGGTATGTGTGGATTAAAATTGACTTTGAGAAATTTATTAGCTGTACATACATCCCAATATGTATGTAGATACATAGGATCATAAATATAATTTTGGTAAAACTTTTCATTACTTATAAAATATACACATTTTGTATGCCTATAACCAGTAACAATGTAGTGCAGTATGTGTTTATGCAGTACAGATACATGTATATCAGAAGGATAGGTCCTTAAGATAATCAAAATTCTTATTAAAAGAGACTTAAAGTGAAAGAAGTCTTAAACAGCATATATGTTGAATGTGACAGAAAAGGAAATGATTGAAACAGAGGAAATTGAATGGTTGAATTTTAATTCTTCTCAGATCAGGAGGTGATTTTCAGATTTTGTGAAATAATCTAAGATCCAAACTTAAACAGAGTTCTTTTGTAAAATTTATGCAAATTTGGTATATGATGAGGATTTGGAGAAAAAAAAATGAAAGTGCATGGAAAACACGTACTGACTGTCAGGATGAAAGATATTGTGACTTAAAATTGTCAAAATATTGCTTTTTTGTTTGTTTGTTTGTTGTTTAACGTCCCTCATATGGAGAAGCCACCACTTGCCAGTGGAGGGCTACAAATTTTGACCTATATTCGGCACTCAGGGCCACTGAGCAGCGAGGGATCTTTATCGTGCCAGCACCTACTGCGACACCGGACCTTGGTTTATACAGTCTCATTCGAAGGACCGGCCTCCACGTCCCACAGTGGGATTCGAACCCATGACGTAAGGATCATCTCCTTACTCAGTGACTCTAACAGATGCTCTAACCACTGCGCCACTCGGGCGACCAAAATATTGCTAACAAATTAATTTTACTTTTACAGTAAAATGTACACATACTAAAACATAGTTATAATTTTTTCCATCATTAATGCAAATCAAAAATCTAGAATTTGTGATAACCAAAAAATGCTAGCATATCAATATATACATGCACGTATAATGTAAAACTGCATGCACTGACATGTATTTCTTATACATGTAATATGTTGGGTTTTTTTAGATGATCAAGAAAGTACCATATTATGGTGTTCAAAGAGCAAACTTAGTGAAATATTATTGCTAGTACTTGCACTGTGATTGAAATGAAAACCTTTGTGTAATTGGACTATATATGTAGAAATTTGTTACAAAAATATTTATACAAATACAATTTTTAAGTGAATGTTGAAAACATTGGTATGTTGAAATTACTGGCTAACACAATTAATAACGTAGTAAAAGATTTGGAGTCTAAAACAGGAAAAGGGGGGGGGGGGGTCATTGTTGTTGTGGTATAAAGAGTCCCTTATTAAAAATGTGAATTTTGGAATATGCAACAACTAAACACCTCAGAGCCATAAAACGAATCCCCAGAACCAAATGTTTTTCCTCAAACTACAAAATATAAATGATTTAACAGTATATCATTTTACAAAATCCATTTTAGTAAGATTGTAAGGGAAAAAAACTGATTTTAATAAAAACAATTCTTTGATTTTTACTTATGTTCCTCATATCTCAGAATTCTACCATATTGTATCTACATGGATGTATGAAAATTAAGTTCTATGATATGAAAAAAAAATTGCTAAACTCCCTTATAGAGTATTTTGTATAGCATTTCATCATTTTCATGTAAGTATTTTTGTAATTGAGAATTGTTATTTTGACAATAGTGTGAATTTAAAATTGACAGAATGCAAACAACTTATCAGAGGCTCAAATGTGTTCAAGTCTCATAATTTATATGTATGGTGAACCGTGATGTAATAGAGTCCTCCTAAATTTAAAGACATGTAAATTCCATTTTTTTCAATTATAGAGAAACTATCTTACAAAAATGAAAGAAACATGAATATTCAATATGATCGTTGAAAATTCACGAGTAAGCCAGAGCAATTTATCATGAATTCATTCCATTTCTAAACAATTGGCAAAATGCCAAACCTCAAATTAGGCTAATTTTTGAAATTATATATATTTTTTCAATTTTATAATTTTTTTTTTTCAATTTTGATTATGGTTATAAAGAAAATGGTAACATTTTTTCTTATCTAACAACAAGTATTTATAATTTAAAGTTCTATATTAGACTTTGTAATCCATTGGAATTCAAAGAATTTTTTTGAAAATTGGCTTTTGTAAATCTCTATATCTCAATAAATTATGAAATCCCAAGCTTAATATTTTGAAAAGATAATATTTAGAGTTATATTTTGATAATAAGATCAAAAATTGTAATTTTGTAGCTTGGTCTTGGAAGATTTTGGCCATTCAATATGTAATAATTTTGTCAATTTTTCAAACTTGGCATTGTGCCAATTTTTAAGAGTTATCTACTCTTCGATATGTTGCATATTTGATTATGATAAATATCAGTTTTAGAAGAACATAGTCATATGTTACTTTAAAATACCTTAATCGAAATACAAAATTTAATTTAGTTTTAAGTAAAATAAATCAAATGTAATTTTTACCATTTTGCTTGTATTATTTAAGTGCATTTGCACTAAAATGTGCAAAAAGAAGGTGGCACTTCCTACGGCTGCCATGTTGGATGATGGGAAAATTTTTTGCTTTTTTTGAATTACATGTTATGAAGTCTAACTACCCACCAAATTTCATCAAGATATGACAACCTTTGGACAGTTTTGCATGGTTTTCTCGCGGACTGGCTCTTAAGTGTAATTACAAGACATTAATGAACAATTATAGTCATTGTTTTATATGTAATTACAAGACATTAATGAACAATTATATTCATTGTTTTATATGTAATTACAAGACATTAATGAACAATTATAGTCATTGTTTTAAGTGTAATTACAAGACATTAATGAACAATTATAGTCATTGTTTTATTTGTAATTACAAGACATTAATGAACAATTATAGTCATTGTTTTATATGTAATTACAAGACATTAATGAACAATTATAGTCATTGTTTTATGTGTAATTACAAGACATTAATGAACAATTATAGTCATTGTTTTATATGTAATTACATTACATGCTTAATTCAATTCTAACTTGTTGCATTAAGTAACAAGAAATATTCCTAAGATGAGGATATATAAATTATACACTGTAATTTATAACTAAAGTATATCATTTTGAGATAATATACTTATTATTTAATTAGTTAAGAGTTCTTATAATGTGTACTTGGTTTAGTTTATAACTTTGTTATGGTAGACAAACAACTGATTTGTACAGATCAGACTTGACATAGATTTTGTCCTACATCACATACAATGTCTAATGTTCTCTGACTGGTTAAGGATATGTTCAATGACTCTCACTGATTTTGTCTTCTATTTGGACTGACATCATAATTCTATAGTAGGCACTGCTAAAGTGAGGAAATCAATACCAGTCCAGTTGTGTGGTTTGTAGGTTAACTTTATAGATCACTAGAAATGTCAGAAAATGTATATCAGTACAGTTGTAAAATGGATGGGGTGTGTAGGGTGATGTATGTAGGGTGAGGTGTGTGGGGTGGGGTGGGGGATTGGAGATTAGGGGTTTGGAGGGGCAATGCCATAGGTCTTAATGATAGTTGATATATGGTTCTTTCAATACTCCATTCAAGCAAAATACAATGAACAGTGACTACAATATTTTACAGGCTTTTAACAGATGACAATTTGTACAAGTTGACAGATATAGACACCATTGATATTAACACAGTTCTGTCAAGGAATGTTGTGTATTTCTGTTTTTCTGTAGCAGGTGTTCAGTAAATATACACTGTTTACTGGGTTGACATTCTACATGTATATTACATAAAATTTTTGCCAGATTAAAAATAAAACCAAATTTCAGAATTATTTAATTTTAGTTAAGACCTGTTGGAAATGCAATGAAAAAGTGATTCATTCTAATGATATTGATGTGTGAAAGTAAGCATCTGTGAGAATAATTCAAACATTGAACTTAATTTATACCAGTGTACAAACAAGTTTATAGCTTACTAAAAACAATTGAAGGTTGCATGGTTTAGGTGAGTTTAAATACAAACAGTAAAAGTTGTACCCTGGTATTTGACATTAACTCTCTTTTCAAAATCCTTATTACACAATTAAGACAAGACCCCACGACCACAGTCACCTGTAAACGAAGTTGGGGGGTGTATAGGTCAATCACCTTGTCCCTCTGCCTGTGCAGTCTTCCATGGTGTGTAACTTTGTAATGGAGAACCATTGGATGCATTATTAGTTACATGTATCTAGGTCCAATCAATGGTGTACGGGAATTTACCCCGGGTTTTATTCAATACACCCTGAGGGTAAGGCTAAATCCTCGTACACCCTTAATTGAACCTGGATAACGAATTTATTTCCTATGTAAACAAATAAATTCTTTCTAAACACAATTCCAATCAATGGTGTTTCAAACTATAGATGAGATTTACTACATGCTGCAATGCATCGTGACGTCATATTAATTGCTTTAAAATTGTGATAGAAAAACTATGCATTGTGAGGTCATGTTATTTACTCTGGCTCAAGCCAGGTGCAAGATAATTTACACCCGGCTTGCTAACCAATCAAATATCGTGTTACAAGCTGGATTTTTTATGACCTGAGGGTGTGTCACGACCTTAATTCAAGGTCATTCTTGCAAGTTCAAGGTCACAAAAAGAAAAAGTATAAAACTCTTCTCCAAGCTATACCTTTGAAATGGAGAATCATTGGAAACTTTTACTTGGTACAAAGATTGTTTATATCTGAGTGTTTTTGATCATTGACTTTGACTCAAGGTTGTCTAGGCAAGTTCAAGGTCACTGGCACAAAAAGTATAAAACTCTTGTCTGGGCTATAACTTTGTAATGGAGAATCAATGGAAGCTCATGCTTGGTACAAAGTTTGTTTATGACCTGAGGAATGTGTCATAACCTTGACCCATTGTAATAGTGACAAGTTCAAGATCACTGGCAGAATAAATTATAAAATTCTTGACATATTAAAATTTTCTAATTAAAAAAACATTAGATGTCCATATTTCACTCAAAGATTACTAATGACCATGATGACCAGAGTATGTGTAAAATTTTTGATCATTTTGGCAAGTTCGTCACACTTACAAAATTGCAAATAGGCACTTTAGAAAATGCAGCATAGGTTATTTGTGAGCTTGCTCACAGTACCTCTGCATGGTTCATGTTTGGTATGTTCCCTGTTACAACCACTCTTAGACTAGTGTAACACACATATGTAGCTGTTGCCTGCGTGGCGCAGTGGTTAGAATGTCTGCTATAGAGTCACAGAGTAAGGAGCTGATCCTAACGTCGGGGGTACAAATCTACTGCTGGACATGAGACCAGCCCTTAGTATGAGACCGTATAAACCAAGGTCCTGTGTCGCAGTAGGTGTTGGCATGAAAGAGAACCCTCACCGCTCAATAGCCCTGAGTGCCAAGCAAAGATATAAATTTACAGCCCTCCATCCACAAATGGTGGTGTCTCCATATGAGTGAAAAATTCTTGAGAGGGATGTTGAAACAATAAACAAACAAATACACATGTAGCTCATTTTGTAACAGGGTCATAAGAAAGTAAAGCTATTTTGTGTGTGTTTTACCTGAGTCATAGTTCTAATGGTGATTTGTCCCTTTGTTAATCCTGAGATACTGTAAATATCTTTAATTCTTTGTGTTAAAAATTTATAGATTTTCTTCGTTCCTAAATGTCACAGTGGTTTTATAAATGTTTAAAAATTATTTATATGTAATATGATATACTTTAAGACAGAAATGATGATATGTATGAATATTTATCTCAATACATATGAATTAGTATGTAAAAATATCTGGGGTTGTCTTCATATTGGTTATGTTGGTGTTGACTCTTGTCTTTGGTGCGAGTTTTCCTGATTCCATTTCAATTTCATGGTCATTGAATTTCTCAATATTGAATATTTTGATTAAACAAAATATTCTAAAAAAAGAAAGTTGTTTGAAATTATTCATAACACATGTATCAACATGATCAAGTAACTTACTCTATGCCAGTGCAACCAAAGTAAGAGACTTCAATGCATTTTCATATTGATCAGTAACAGCTATAGGGCTCAACATTAACTTTAAAACAAACTAGACTAGTCAGTCTAACAACTTCACTAAAGACTGGACCTCATCTTCACTAGTCCTGACTTCATCTTCACAAGACCTGACCTCATCTTCACTAGACTTGACCTCAAATTCACTAGTCCTGACCTCAGAATCACTAGTCCTGACCTCAAGTTCAATAGTCCTGACCTCAACTTCACTAGTCTTGACCTCATTATCACTACATCTGACCTCAAGTTCACTTGTCCTTGCCTCAACTTCACTAGTCCTAACCTAATATCCATGGATTTTGAGAATTAATAAATATTACTAGAATAGAACTTGTTTGTCAGTCCAAATTTTCTCAACCAGAGAGCCATAGTTCTAAAGCTACCTTGAGGCAAAATAATATAGACCGTACCAAACTTTTACTAGTCTGAGTCAGTCAGACATGCCTTAATGTAAAGCTCTGTAGTCATGTGTATTCTGTGCTGAAATGTAAAGAAATTAAATCATGATTATATATGGTTTTTATTTATTGTTTGAAGAGTTTCTGAGGAAGGAGAAGACAACTGTTTTTCATGCCAGAGGAATACTTGTTGGGTGTACCGAGGCTGGAAAAACAACACTACTGAAGCAATTAAGAGGGAAACGTCAAAATGTAGACGTAGCAGTGTCAACCTGGGGACTAACAGCACTGCTGAAGCGACTAAGAGGGCAACGTCAAAATGTCAGTGAAGTTACAGAGTCCACCAGGGGACTCCAAGTCCATCAGCATCTCTTCATTGTTAAAGATGGAATTTTAGAAGGTAAAAATAATTTCTGATATATATTCATAGAACAAATATACAAAATTTCTTTGCTGTTACACAGTGTCTCCTTATATGAAATCTTGTCATTTCTGCAAAAGATTTTACATAGGTAACATACTTTGAACATAAAGTATACACAACTTAAAACTCTGTTACAAACAATAGTATACATCACCCTGAACTGACCACAAAGCTGCACTATTGGAATTGAAAGAAGAGTATATTGAGAGAAAAAAACCCACACACAACATGTATTTTACGGTTCTAGGAATTAAGCTCATGGCCCTTGCCAGGATTATTTCTTCCCAAGAAATAAAAGAAGTTAAAAGTGAAACATAGTACAAAACTGTATTTCATTTAAGATTTTGACAAGCGCCTCCCCTCCCCAGAAGATGAAAATTCTCCAAACTCCGTATCTTATTTCAGGGGGTTGTGGTTAGGTTCTAATCAATGGAGGAGAGATTTATTCTCCTGTACTGTATCAGAAAGTGGGAGAGGGCGTTCAGACTTTCAATGAACTTCTTCAAACTAAATAAATTTTATAGTAAAAATTTTTGTTTAGAAAAAAAAGGGGGGGGGGGGGGCAGCCTACCCCCAACCCCAGATTTTATGTGCCTGATTGTTATGTTCACCTGAGTGGAAGTCAGGTGCAGGTGAAATAACTTTTCAGAACTAAGTGTATCAATTTGAAAGTTCTCAATTAACCAAAGTTCAATTAAGAAACGGGGTTTCCCACCTTTGAAAATTTAACCATGGAGGAAGCTGCGTGAAGGCGAAATGTGACCGAAAACATGAATGCGTGTTGGACTTTCACACTTTCATTAATCAATGATTCGTTTCACAAACCTTAACCACTGCAGCAAAAAAGTTGAAATAACCAACAATGTTTTTTTTTTTAAGATTAAAAAAAATTAATGAAATTTAAGGAGATAACGAACAGTATTTGTGCTGAAAAGTTCATTAAACAATACAAATCAGGAGCAGAGCAAACTCGGACCTCTAAAACCTCAGATGTGGGATCAGGTGCCATGGAGGAGTGAGTATCCCCTACCGACCGGTCACAACCGCCATGTACTCCTTGTCATGATCGGGAAATAAAAATGAAAGGGTTATGTATCATAGTTTACAAATGTACCAAAATTGGACCAAAACTGTAGGAATGTTTTAAAGGTATTTCAAAAAAATATACAGTAACCATGGCAACATTATTTAAAAACTGATATACAGAGTTGATGTTGCCTGTTGTATGAAATATTTTATTTAAATATGACAAAAACTGATGAATGGGAAGTATTTTGAAAAAAAAAAGTTAACAGACACACAAAAGAACAGACGAACGAACACCGGCGTCTTTACAATGCCTAAGCTTTTTTTTAACTGAATGCTCTATGAAAATTTACTGATGGCATACATGATAAAAGTAACATAACTTCATATAACCAAGGGCATAAATTTGACATAATTGTAATTGGTTTCTTCTATTCTTTTTTTCTAAACTTTTTTTTTTACATATTGCATTTTTCGCCGAGTTTCCTCCATTGTTTACTTCTCCATGTGCCCCAGATCTAAAAATTGCGCCACGCGACGTTTAATAAAAACGGGAGGTAACTCTAAAACGAAGACGGAGATTGGCCCTTGTTTACATTTTATCAGAAAGATAATAAAGTTAATACTTAAAAACCTTGCATGGGGAATTGATTAAATACAAAGGAATGGGAAAAATTGAAATGGTTAATTTCAGTGGGAGCACTGCTCGTTATGTCATCTTTTATAAATTTGTTATCTTGTAGTGAAGACATTGGAATTCCCCAAAATTACATGTGTACAGGAAAATTAACTCTCAAATATATATCTTAATCATCAGCTGATTAGGGCTGCGTATTGAGCAAAAAAAATTCGATACAATACAATATTTTATAATGCGATATATTGGATTCTTTAACAAGTCTATCAAAAAAGTCTTAAAAGTCATTTAGTGCATGGATTTTTTTAAAAAATTAATTGTTTTACAACTCATTTCAAAGAGTTTGTCTCACTGTCATTACAAATTACACTTCAAATTCAAACTTTTAACAACTGTAAACATGGTAAAATCAACATGTTAAATAAAGGTGTCTATGTATTTTGTAATAATTATCTAAGATGAGCTACCTCAATTTTAATTCAAAACATTTAAGTACAAACCTTGGTGATTGAAATTTCCGATTTTTTCACAGAATTATATGAAAAGCTACTTGCCCGATACGTATTGGAAGTCATTTTTTTCGATACGATATATTCTTGAATATCGATACGTATCGATATATCGATACATTGATACAGCCCTACAGCTGATTGACTCTCCATTGTCATGCTTCACAGCATAGTCGCCGATCAACGACCGTGTTTGTTTAGCACAGTTCGCTTTTTCTCGAGGTGCATGACAGTCGTATTATAAACACAATTAACTACTCAAGTCATTAAAAAATAGATGTCATTACTGAAATGCAATAAAAATTTAATCATGGCGGCAACCCATTTTGACCATGGCGCAAATTTTAACCATGACGGGCCGCCAAGGTTAAACCCCTTGTGGAACACTTTATTCAAGGAAGGTTAGCTAATTTTTAGGACAAAATGTTCTATAATATATTAACAAAATTATATTTTCTTTATTTAGTGAATTGCTGTTTAAAATGCATTTTCTTCAAAACTTTTTAATATTATTTATCTCATTGTTTATAAATATATTAAATAAAATGAATAATTTCAATTAAGTTTTTTATGAATTGACACTAAAAATATCTAGTCCAATGGCTTCTAATCCTTTGTTTGCCATACCTACAGCTTGTGTAAGAAGTGATTAACAGGTGCTAATTAGTACCCTAGGGTTATGTACATATTGACACTTAACTTAAATACAGATATTTCACACATTTTGACATTACCTATTGGTAGTTTTATACACATACATTGACTATGTCTTCCCACAAATCTTTTTTAAAATATATAATTTGGTGTTATAACACCATGGCAATTTTTCTATTTTAATTAAAAAATTGGTGGGAAGACAGTTGTTTAACGCACGATATGACAAATACTATAACATTGTGAGATGTATAGCTTAGGATGATGAAAAAAAAGCAGGAAACAAGGCAAAATGCATCCATTGTTTTGCATAAATATATCAGAAAGCTTTAAAACGGACACATGAATTAATGGAAAACAGCATCAAGGTCCTGTAAAAAGACCATGTCCCAGGTGAAAATTGGCTTTTTTCCCCAAAAAATTCAGGTAACAATTCCCTAAAGATGACCAAATTCAATTTTTTGATGCTGTTTATACATAGAAATAATGTTTTGAAATTTTAATCATTTTTAAAGATATATATCATGTGTATATGGGGAACAACTCCACTATTTAACTCTTTAATCAACAAATAAAGTTAAGTCAACAACATTTCCCAATTTTGCCACCTTTTCGATTAAAAATTCCTAATTAGAAAGGTACAGGACCCTGTACCAAAAAGGATCAATTAAGGTAGTATGGGATACCTCTACGTTATGACGTATTTCCGTTTGAAGTATTGTTTTGATTTGCATGAATGCTTATTATCGGGTCAAAATTTGTAGATACACCGTTGAAAAGAACACTCTGAAGCCTATTTCAATGCAAGTTCTCACAAGTCGGCATTTTAAGTAAAAACAGACAAAAAAATCGCAAGTATATAAATTTACTTATAATTGTACAACGGACATTTAAAAAAGCAAACCCCTGTAAAAGGTAGTTTCAACATTGCTGCGTTTGAACACTTTTAAGCAACAGCTGTATTTCAATTGTTTGAGTAACTGTACAGCACCTTGTGTGCGGTGAGGCATGGATAAATGCGATTACTTCACATTGTGCTGAATTATCACCAATCAATTATCACGTTAACCAGAGCTGGACTTTTTTGTTATTTAATTCAAGAAGTAACTGTTTGGTCACAAATCAGCTAGCTGTTGTATATAGTCCCAACACGTTCAGATGAATGCAATTGCTCTGAACAAGACACGTCCTGGAAAGCGATTGTCCATGCATTGTTTTCAAAACCGCTCAAAGTTGAAAACTACAAAGTGCGATTTTTTTATGGTTGGGAAAAAATGCTCATCATTTCTAAAATAGCACCCAGGTTTTTTCAACCCTTGGAAAATAAAGAAGGATAACTCTTCCGCTCGGATCTTTTAATTCAAGAAATTTTAAATGCATTTTATATTTTCCATTTATATATATATTTTCAATTTGTTTATTTCACTTTGCTAACATATTAAGATACATTCTTATTGTAGACTTTCATGAAATGTTATCCGTCTGTTTTCAAGAAATAAAGTTTTCCCAGTTTTTTACGCTTATTTTTTGTTGAAAATTAAAAAAAATACTAAGACATATTTCTTGTCATTTTTGTTTTTATAAACACTTTATATTAGCAAACGCCTGCCTTTTATATTAAGCTTATGAAAAAAGAATTATGCAAGAAAAAAAATCGTTTTTGTATTTCTCATTAAAATAATAAAAAAATTATTAAAATTACACTTTAATATACTGAAAGGTGGGGGTATTTCAAATCCTTCTAATTTGGGTACATAAATATGTAGGAGAAGTTTCGTTTGGTATCCCATACCACCTTAAGCCCTGAAACTTGCTATATTAGTCGGTATTTATTTATTCCTGTCACAAATGCCCCAGTGTAAAATATCTTCATTGTGGCAGAAAAATCTTTAAACCTGATAGATGTAAATATGGGACACAATATTCTAAAATTTCATTAACATCTACACAATGTTTACTTAATGTAAAAAAAAAAAAAAAAAGTAACTGAAACTATTTAAATATAAATGAATGTTGATGACTATTAATTTATCATTGATTATTTTATATGTTTTTTCTTAATGTAATTTGTAATTTAATTAATTACATTTACAAAGTAATTGTAATTTAATTAATTACATTTCAAAATCTTTGTAATGGTAATGGTAATT